TGTCTGGTAGAAGAAGAAGAACATGCTCAGAAGGTTTCAATGAAATCAGTCGACGTCCCTTGTTAGCATATTCACGGTGTCGACTTCCTGCAACATCCAGGCTTTTTCTAGCAATTTCACAACCAGACATAATTTTGTGACGCAACTCTGTCACAAACTCAGAGTATGTTTCAAAAGAACCCTCCCTGTCTCGGTCTGACCACTGATCTTTTAAAATAGACAAAGGGCCTCTTGGATTGGCACCGTAAACAAGCTCAAAAGGTGAAAATCCAGTACTGGCTTGCGGAACCTCCCTGTATGCAAAAAGTACAGCAGGTAGATACCTATCCCAGTCATCTGGAAATTCAGCTGTAACTTTTGCTAGCATGGCTTTTAAGCGCCCGTTAAAATTTTCTACCACACCATTTGACTTCGGATTGTACCGAGCTGAAAATACGTGTGCGATCGACAGAAGTTTGTCAAAAGACTGCATGGTCTCTGAGATGAACTGAGATCCATGGTCTGATAAAATGGTATCAGGAAATCCTAGTCTAGAAAATATAGATATAAGAGCTTCAGCTACTGCCTCTGTGGTGATAAATTTCATCGGCACCGCCTCGGGCCAACGAGAAGCAAGATCAATAAAGGTTAATATGTAGCGATATCCTCTTTTTGACATAATAGAAAGTGGTCCAACAATGTCGATAGCTACTTTCTCGAATGGACGAAATGGTAAGTCTGCCTTTTGGATTGGAGCATTTTGTGATGCATCCTTTCTTGCCATGCGTTGACACTGCTGACATGACCTGCAATATGTCTTGATGTCTTTAGAGAAACCTGGCCAGTAAAATTGAGAAAGAATCCTTCTCTGTGTCTTACCAGTACCTAAGTGCCCTGCAAAAGGAATATCATGTGCAGTCTTTAGAACCTCGACCCTATGTGCTTTAGGTACCACTAGTTGTTTGTAAATATGGAGTGGAGCCTCGAAGTAACGCATCAACAGTCCATTCTTGACATAAAATTGCCATTTCCCATTTCTGGCATGTTGGTAACCTGGCAAAATCGCTTTCTCAAAACACTTTTTCAAAGTTGGATCTGCCTTCTGCGCAGCTGCAAATGATGCTGCAGTGACTGATGGTGATGCTGAAACTGGTGTGTTTTCAGTCAAACCACACTCAATTGTTATCCGATCAGTCTGTGGTGCTTCTGGTAACTGGTTGAGAGCACTATCTTTGTCTATGCGCTGCTGCTGTGCTCGTGTAACAGCATTGGCCACTGTGTCATTGTCATTGTTCCACTTCTTAATATCTTCTGTTGTACAAGCTCGCACACCTGGAACTGTACCAAGAATGATATCTGGTGAACCTCGGTTTACGACACATACCTCTGCAACTCCGGTAAAATGGGGACATCTAATTTTCACAATTGCAAGTGGATATTTTTCAAGATTTCCACCGAATGTGCGGCATTTAGCATACCTCCCTGTATAGGCAGATGCAGGGACTAAGTATCTTGCCACGCCGATAACGTTCGCGCCTGTGTCCCTTAGAACTGTGCATCTTACCTTGCCAATGTAACCAAAATGAAGAGGTAATCCACATTCTGTAGGCATAGCGGACAAAGCAGGATACAATATATCAGGTCGAACTCTGACCTGTACGGTATCGCTGTGGCTGGCATGTGTTATGTCCTCTACCTGAACTGCATTGCCCTGTCTTGGTGTAACTCTAGGACAGAATCTTTTCAGGTGATTCCCCCCACACACAAAGCATTTAAGGTTGTTATCATGGTGCCTTCTCCTGTCTGGTGTCGGAGATTCGTCATCCCGTCTATAACCTTTGTGATGACACTGGTCTGATCGGTGACGCCAGGAAGAACAGTACTGACAACCTCTAGGCCGGCTAAAGTACCTATGTGACTGTTCTGTCTTCTGAAAGGCTTTATCTGGTCGTCTGGAACGATCATAGCTGTGGCTTCTAAAGTGACCTGCTCTGCCAAAAGTGTTAGGTTTCTGAGCAACATTATTTTGTGAATAATGTGAGCGGTTCACGCGCATGCTAGATGCGGCAGGAATAGGTTCTGTGTAACTTTCCTTTTGCAATGACTTGCCAGGATGAGCACTCATATATTGCTCACCCAGTTTTTACCATTTCCTCAATAGAAGGCGGTTTTCTTTCTTGGAAGAAAGCAAACAATCCTGTGCTACAACAGGACAGAATCTTATCCCTAATCATCAGTTCTGCTAGACGATCATAAGAATTACCGACCTGCGCCAGAGTTGTCCACCTAGAAAACAAGGTCTTAACATTGGCAACAAAATCACCAAAACTTTTTTCAGAGGAAGGCATTATGTTTTTGAATTTCTGACGATAGTTTTCCTCTGTCAAATTTTGGGAAGCCAATAATTTCTGACGCACTGTCTGGAATGATGCACGGTCTTCCAACTGTAAATTAGTGAACGTGTTTAACACTGTTCCGGTTAGCAGATCTCTTAGACGAGCTACCCACTGTGTCTCAGGAATCTGGGCTGACGACATCGTTTCTTGGAATCTGTCCAAAAAAGAGTGTAAACAATCATTTGTTGTTAAAAAGGGCAACTTTGGCCTGTATGACCCATTATTCCTGTCTCGGTTGGAGAACTGATCCATCTCAACACTTTTCTTGCTCTCTACCTCCTTAATAGCAATCATTTTATCTCTCTCTACTCTAGCAATTTCTATCTCAGTGTCGAATCTAAGTTGTTGCTGCTTGTGAGACAGTTCTAATTCTCGATCTTTAAATTGCTGCTGCTTATCATTTTCCTGCATCTGCTGCAACATCTGCTCTCTTTTAAATGCTATTTCCTGTTCCTTAAGTACCCGTTCTGCCTCTAACTTTTCCTTTTCTAACCTTATTTGTAGTTCAGCCTTTTCTCTTTCTACACAAATTAGCATTTCTGACTCTTCTTTTAGTTTTAGTCTTTCTGCCTCTGCTTTCCCTTTTTCTGCCTCTGCTTTTCCTTTTTCTGCCTCTGCTTTTTCTTTTTCTGCATTAAGAAGCTGTATCTTCAACTCAGAGTCAATTTTTTTTTCTGCTGTCTTTCTAACGCTCTTTCTTCTCTAACGCTATCTGTGATTTCTTTAAATCTGGCTTCGGCAAATTTGACCAACTCTGGCCCCTCTAAACTCATAGATCGGCCTAGCTCAACAAAATCCGCAAAGGAAGCCATTATAACTCGATGTATTTTGCAATACAGAAAATGTAAAATAATAATAAATGGAAAAAAAAAATGAGACAAACAATGGTTGACAAACAAGACGCTACACTTCGTTCACTGCAACTAATGTACAAAACGACAACGTTGAGAGAATCGAATAGTAAAAATAAAGTTGACACCACAAGCCTGTTATAAAAAAGAAATCATGAAAAGTAAACAGAAGAGCACACTAATGACGTGACGAAGGAAACACACTTAACGCATACAATTTTAGCGACTAATTGTCAGAAAGGCCACGAATATTTGCATATCCTCTATATCAGAGCCGCCAATTTGACAAGAAAAGCTGAAGAAAAGGACTAATATGTCATCCCAAACTGAATGAGCTGATATATTAAAGTTACAAATAACAGAAAATATGGATGATAATCATTCACTCTAACACCTCGGATATGTTATGAGACGAAACGAGCACACAACACAACTCCCATCCGTCAACAAAAAACATTACCCGATTTAAATCCACAGATGCGATCCTTAGGCGTCGTAAGCGTAGATCCTCAAGTCGATGCGATCCTTAATCATACTGCGATCCTTAGGCGTCGTACTGCGATCTTTAGGCGTCGTACTGCGATCCTCAGGCGTCGTACTGCGATCCTTAGGCGACGTACTGCGAACAGGAACCTAGTAGTAATGATGCGAAACTCAAGCATCCACTGCCGAACTCCGTTGAAGAATGTCAATTACGGTAGAACAAACGCGTAATTCTATAGAGTCAAATAACACTGTTAATGTCACCAGCACTTTATACAGCTGTAAACGGCAATCAATTAAGGCCTACTGTTAGTTCACGTATGTCCGATAAGTTCGTAAAGCTGCTAGAAACACCCGTTAGCACTGCATACACTTAAAAAAAATAGTTTATAACTCCTTTCAGGATCCGTTAATTTATAACTTTATTTAGAACAGTTATATGTATTCGTTCAAACGATCATCAGTCAGTAGCACAAACACTGGATAAATCAACACTGTTTATAAATCCATCAAAGGACCGGCTTGGCCATCCACTGTTGTACACTTAATTTGTTGTACACTTTGTTGTAGTACACTGTAATTTCAAGAACCAAGTATTTAGGCCTAGGGTGCCTATTCTAGTACTCCGCTGGATATCTCCTTGATGGATGTGCTACAGTGTAGTCCTGCCTACTATAACTGGCCCATTTGGCCCAGCATCATCTAACACAGTTGCTATCTTTACAAGTCAACAATAACGCTTGTGACAGGCCACATAAACTTTATTGTGATTAAAGTTACACGTCACAAGATGATGATGATTATTCAATAAAACGTACGATAATAACTCCCTATTATCTACTCTGAGAATATAAAAGAATTACACTCTTTTCTCAATGGACTCCTGCCATTATAATAAATAAATAGACATTAAACTGTCTCCCGTGTAAGTACGGTTAATTAAATAAAACCTCACAAAGAGGGAACGTCTGCTTCGAACAAGGGAAATATCTTGACTGCCGAATCCTTTGTGTTCTGCAGGAGCCTTTGTGTTAATCGCCCAGCATTCAATTAGCTGGTATCCCAGGTAACAGACCCGACCGGTGGCCGCAGTGTGAACCTTTCACCTGCGCTGTGACCACTAGAAGAAACTAGAAGAAACTTTAACTCTTTGGACAATAAGATTACAACAGTGGACTAGCACCATATGTCTCAAGATGTGGAGCTGGAGAGGTTTTTATTTTTCCGACTTGATGAAATATTTAAGACGATGCGATACAGTGACCTAAAGTTCATTGTTTGTTTGTTTCAGACTACAACATGCCAGACGTTGCAAGTAAAGGGACAGAAGACGGCAGACAAGGACCAGACAATGCAAGACAAGGTCCAGACAATGCAAGACAAGGTCCAGACAATGCAAGACAAGGACCAGACAATACAAGACAAGGTCCAGACAATGCAAGACAAGGTCCAGACAATGCAAGACAGGGTCCAGACAATACAAGACAGGGTCCAGACAATGCAAGACAAGGACCAGACAATACAAGACAAGGACCAGACAATACAAGACAAGGACCAGACAATACAAGACAAGGTCCAGACAATACAAGACAAGGTCCAGACAATGCAAGACAAGGACCAGACAATACAAGACAAGGTCCAGACAATGCAAGACAAGGTCCAGACAATGCAAGACAAGGTCCAGACAAAGGAAGACAAGGTCCAGAGAATGCAAACAATGTATCTGGCAACAGCAAAAATAAGAAGAAACGAAGGCAAAGAAAAAAGAATAGAGGAAAGAAAAAGACATAGAAGATCAGAAAAACACTAGTGACCCACAGAAAACGCAGGACGCTGGAGATCGTGTCTCTGCTTCAGGAAGAGGTGGTCCGCGTACTAACAAGAAAAAGAGATCAAGAAGGAGACGCTGGGACAGATATTATGGGCGTTTTTGCTGTAGAATCTGCAGGCGGAGGTGGGACAGCGCCTATGTCTTCACTGTGGCTGGAACAAAGAAGGTAGGTACATTCTAAGTGAGAATATTTCTGTAAAAGACATTTTCTAAATTATTTTCTTGTTCATCATGAGGCTCCCTAGCAAGTATTAGAGCATGTAAATGACATGGTAAAACAGGCCAGGTATGAATCTATACGTGGAACACAGGCAGAAAGCTCAGGCTTATCTCTATGCACCGGAAAATCACGTATCATTAACATTAACTTAGTAGGTACTGTATTTAGGCATTATGTATTCCTCAATTCATCTGGATGTCAGTGGCCTGGTTACATCTTAATTTGCCTTTCCAAAGATGTGAAGTCCTGCTATCTGTGTAGCACACTCCACTGGTTCGTGCGCTTGGAGGGGAAGTGAGAGTTTTGTACTACAGCCCCCTTGGAGAGATTACTCTCAAATAACAGATCAGAAGAAAAGTATCTGCACAAGACTCACTTTGGCAGGTTCAAGCCTTAATAAGGAACTCTGACCACGTGACCATCAGTACATTACATTTGATTGTTACAATTCCGCCTTCTAGAGGATTTATAACCAAGCAGACTGAAAATACTAACATGGCACTTGAAAGATTCCAATAGTTTAATTATTGATTGAAGAATCGATATCACCAGGCAGACATATGCAAGCTCTATCTTCAGCTGACAAATATCCTTAGGTGTAGGTCAGGACTATTTAACTAAATCAAAACCTTCAAACCTTTATATCCAGGAGCCTTCATTTAAAAAACTACAACGAGGATCATTACGGACCAGAGATCAAAGCCTCTGTATAGAAAGATCATTGATACTATACAATTGGCAATGACCCTTGTGCACTTTACTAGGCGTCAGCGGTCTAGATTTGTCTCGCAGGCCGCAAGTTAATTAGCCCTAATGTAAAGGGTAAGTGTTTTAGTAGCATACTGGTTGTATACGTGTCGTACTCTTCATCCTACTGGTTCCTTCTGGCTAAATGCACACTTATCTCCAAATTCAAGTATTTTTTAACGTGGATTAATCTACGATTTCCTGCAGCAGTCATGTTTTTTCTCTTCTTCTTTGTTCACAAGCTGTGTAAGCTTTGGTGTGAAGTCCCTGTTATTCCTACTTGTGGACTAGGGCCTGAGTTTTGCGTTTACATCCGATTTACTGGCTTATTTATGTGCAGTTGGTTGTTCCATGCCACTCGGGCAGATGCATTCCGACTACGAAACTTCGAAGGAAGTCCCCAATTAGTCGACTCCTACG